CTCCTGCCAAGAGGACAGGTGAGAACAGGGCTGAAATGCCCTGGCTCTAGTGACATGGAGGTCATCATTGGTGACCTCAGTGGCAGGGTGGGAACAGACAGGGGCTCGAGAGAGAATGGGGGATGGGAGGCTGTTAGTTTAGAGACATCTTTTGGGGAGTTTGGCTGTGAAAGGGAGAAGAGAGAAAGCTGGTGTTAATTAAAGGGGGTGAGGGGTCCTGAGAGTGTTCTTTTTTGTGTGCTTTGTTTTGTTTCCAATGAGAGAGGCTAAGGTCTGTTGAAAAGCCGAGATGGGGAGGATCCAGTGGCTGGAGAGATGGGGTGGGGGTGGGGGAAGAGGGAGGGGTCCAAGTCCCATGGGGGGGCGGATGGAGGGAGGGAAGAGGGGCATTGGGCGTTTCTAACTGGAGGCTCCCAGGATCTTTGTGAAGTGGGAGGCCAGGCCACTGGTGAGGGGGTGTTGGGGGGAGGTAAGGGGCAGAGATCCGAGGTTGGAGGAGAGAAGGGGGAGGTTGAAATAGTTATTGCGGAGTGTGGGGGAGTGACAGGACCCCAGAGTCACCGGGGAGTGCCGTGGGCCCTGGGGGACGGCCGTGGAGGATGTGCAGCAGAGCCCCTGAGTCCTCTGACTCTCCAGGCCCCCCGCCCCCCTCGCCCTCTCCCCAGCTGCTCAGGGCCAGACCCAGAGAGAGCACCTTGCCTTTGTTCCTGAAATCCCACCCCCCAAATCAGCTGGCACCAATGTAGCAGAGGGTATCTATGCATAGACATCTGAATTTAAAAGATGTCAACATACAAACTACCACCATCTCAGCCCAGGGAACAGAAAGCAACTGTGGGACGTGTTTACAAGATCCAGGGCTCTGGGACGGTGGCTTTAAAAGGGGTTTTGTGGTCACCTCTTTCTGATTTTGAAGGATGGCCCCGTCCCCACAACCGGTGCAGGTGGAGGAGAACCAGAGCCCGTCTCCCCACCGCCCTCACCGCAGGCACCATCTGTGCCTGAGAACAGCTCGCCCCATGTGGCTGGCTCTGTTTCTGGAAACCAGCAAGGGGATGAAGCATCTCTGATGTGGAGCCCACGGGAGACCCACACGTATGAAGCAAGCAGGCCAAGAAAAGGCAGTCCAAAATAGATTCTGTCTTTGGCAGAAAATGCCTTAGTGCCAGAATGGAAAAGATTGACCAAAATGAGCCATTTTCAAGGCCCTCTGAAGGAACATGCATGTGGAAAACGGCGAGTCCAGAGGTGAGAGCCAGCAGAGGAGAGTTGAGAGGCCTTTTCTGGAGCTTTCTCTACATGTGGGCAGTGCTGCCTTCTGCCTGGGCCACAATGCCGGGCCTGGCCCTCAGGGGGCCTTGAGGAAACCCAGATGCCTCTGGTCAGGGTGACTCTGGGGGTTCTGAACGTCTCTCCTGGGTTGGTCTTAGTGCTGAGACCAGGCCCAGCTCTCATGGGAAGCCCATCACCCAGGGCTTTCTGCCTAAAAGAGGTCCAAGAGCCACGATCCCAGGAACAGGCTGCCTTTCTCCAAGGGGCCTTAAGCACAAATGGTGGGTAACTGGGGGATTTCAGGATGGATGTGGGCCCCTGGGGGGTGCAGATGACCAGGCCACAGGAACCATCTCCCAGGATGCACTGAAGGCAGAAACCGTGGGAATCACTTGGAAGGAAGACCTTACTAGAAAAACACAATGATATGTATATCAGGACATTTCTAAGAACAGCAGGAGAAAAACCATGGTGGTTTCCAAGAAAACGGCTTTTTAAACGTTAAGCAAATCTGCAGGCAGCAAAGGAAAAAATAGATAAATTGGAAAACCTCAGAATTTAAAACTTGTGTGCATCTAAGGACACTATCAACAGAGTGAAAAAGCAGCCCGTGGAATGGGGGGAAATAGATGCAAAGCTTATATCTGATAAGGGGTTAATATCCAACATATATAAAGAATTCCTACAATTCCACAACACCCCCTCCCCAAACAATATGATTAAAAATGGGCAAATGGGGACTTCCTCTGGTGGTGCAGTGGATAAGACTCCACGCTCCCAATGCGTGGGGCACAGGTCCAATCCCTGGTCAGGGAACTAGATCCCACATGCATGCTGCAACTAAGAGTTTGCATGCTGCAACTAAGGAGCCCACGAGCCACAGCTAAGGAGCCCACCGGCTGCAACTAAGACGCGGTGCAACCAAATAAATAAATAAATAAATATTTTAAAAAATGGGCAAAGGATTCAAGTTGACATTTCTCCAAAGAAGATATACAAATGGTCAACAGGAAAAGATGCTTAACATGTCTAATCATTAGGGAAATGGAAATAAAAACCACAATGAGACACCATTTCATACCCATAGGATGTCTACTATATTAAAAAAAAAAAGACAATGACAAGTGTTGGTTAGTATGTGGGAAAATTAGAACACTAGTGCACTGTTGTTAAGAAATGTAAAATGATGAAGCTGCTGTGGGAAACAGGATGATGGTTCCTCAAAAAACTAAAAGTAGAAGTACCATATGATCCAGCAATTTCACTTCTGCGTATACACCCAAAAGGACTGAAAGCAGGGTCTTGAAGAGAGATTTTCACACCCATGTTCATAGCAGCATTATTCACAATAGCTAACACGTGGACGCAACCCGAGTGTTCATCGACAGATGACTGAATAAGCAAAACATGGTAATCCAATAGAATATGATTCAGCCTTACAAAGATAGGAAATTCTGACACCTGCTACAACATGGATGGACCTTGAGGGTATTATGCGGAGTAAAAGAAGCCAGTCACAAAAGGACAAATTCTGTATGATTCCACTTAGACGAGGTACCTGGACTCGTCAAATTCACAGAGACAGGAAGTAGAATGGTGGTTGCTGGGGGTTGGGGGAGGGGAGGGAATTAGTGTTTAATACGGATAGTTTCAGATTTACAAGAGTTATGGGGATGGATGGTGGTGATGACTGCACAACAATGTGAATGTACTTCATACAACTTAACTGTACACTTGAAAATGGTCAGGATGCTAAATTTTATGGTATGTGCGTTCTAACACAATAAAGAAAAACGTTTTGCATTAAAATACAAAAACACTATTGAACTAAAAATATAAGATAAAATAAGTACAAGATTCCCTTTCATCAATTTGGAGGAAATCTGGGAATCTGCCAACCCGGGGCACAGTCAGCAGCTTTGGGTCCAACGTCAGCGGGGTCCCCAAGCGTCCGGGAGACGAGACCCCCTCCACTGACAAGGAGGGAACAAACCGGGGAATCCCACCCTCTTTTCCTCTTTCCAGCATCTGAGTCAATGCTGATTCTGTTCCTTTGCCCCAAAACAAAACCTGAGCTGCATGGCGCAGGATTGGCTTATCCCGCAGGCGTTGGCAGGCGGGCCCTGCCCCCGGGCGCCGTCTGCACACAGCAGGGACAAGTTAGCACATTTCAGAGCCTCTCCGCTCCCCTCTGCTGCACCCTGCATCCTGGGGCTCAGCCCAGCACTCGTCTTCGTCCTTGGCTCTGGGCTTAAGGAGAAGTTTAAACTTTCTGCTTAAATCATAAGAAATTCGATCTGGCCAAGCACTTTCCCCAGATTTAGCCACTTATCCTGTTTTGTTTGCAAATATCAGGTGCATTCTCTCAAGATAAAAATGGCGAGAGGTCATTATCCGGCGGGGTCCTGTTTGGACTCCAGGCCCGGGGTCTGTGCATGTGCTCAGCTTAGGGTGTGTAATGGTGGGGAATCCCGCAGGAGGCAGCACCCTGCTGCCCGGACACCCGTAGGGCCCCATCCAGGAGCACCCAAAGGTGAGCCTGGGGAATCTCTCTACATTTCTCCAGGAGGAGCCTGGAGGCCGAGTATGTGCTGCCAGAAACTTGGGGGGAGGTGATTTCTGACGTCAAGTCCCTGGAGTGTGGGGACTAATTGGAGAACTGAGGCTGGGGCCAGGCCTGAGCTTCTCTGAGGGGCCCTTTCTTGGTGGGCTCAGGACCCTCTTCCAGGCCAGACCCTAGCGATGAGCTGATAGGAAGACCGCCTGTGGACCAGCAGGCACAGATGCAACCACTTCCCCGCTCCTCCTCGGTACCACGTGCCCACAGGGCAGTCAACAAACTCGCCTTGAATGATCCCTCAGCTACGAGATCTGCCCTTAGGACCAGCAAGTTGGTCCCAGTGACAGCATGGCTGGCAGTTAAGAGCCAAATTCTAGTGTTGGTGACCCTGGGCAAATCTTTTCACCTCTCTGAGCCTCAGTGTCCTCATCTGTAAGATGGGGATGTTAAAGTAATATTCCCTCCTAGGGTCGGCTGTGACATTTAAATGAATTAATTTACATACAAAGCACTTAGAACAGTGCCTGGCACAGAATAAGCTCTATATGATGTTATTATTGTTACATTCTAATGAGTGGAGACAGACCTCCCCAGAAGTAAACCAATGCCTGAGATAATTTCAAAGACATAATATTTATGAAGAAAGCAAAACAGGGAAGGCAGACCTGAATTTGGGAACATAGTAATATGCAAATCAGGACATTCCTAATGACTGTGGGAGGAAAACCATAGTGGTTTCCAATTAAGTGGTCTTTCAAAATTTAAGATTTAATTATCCAAGTAATACACGGGTTACACATAATACCTTCTCCACATGAAAATTTGAAACATCACACATAAGGCTGACCTGAAGCAGCTCCAGAAAGGGTGTGAGGCTCACCCAGGACCCCACCCTCATCCCCAGCATCTATTTTTATTGATTCCTGCCTGCGTCATCTTGCTCCCAGAGAGATGAGTTAGTTCACGATAGTAAAGAGAAGTTGCCTTGGCCAGTCATAAAGAGATTTATAAGTTCTCTGATCTGTTAATTAGATAAGTTCTTTTGAGTCCATACTGAGACCTGCTCTCTGGGGGGACCATTCCCAGGCAGGACCCCCTCCCCAGCACGGCTATTTCTGGCTTCCTCTGAAAAGAGTCATAATGACAAGGCAGAAGGGCTTTTTCTTACCGTCCTCCGTGGCTGCAAACCTAATACCTCTTTCCAAAGCATTAGCTCAGCGTGGTGGAGGCCAGGTCCAGGGATCCACTTTTCTTGATTAAACGGAGAATGCATTTGCTGACCAGAAGTTCTGGATTCCAGACTTGGTGTTGGACTGGATGCAGTGTCTGTGGGGCCCCGCTGGCAGGGGCGCCAGTGCAAGTCAGCCCTGGGGATGGCGACCAGGAGTGCATGTCCTGTCCCCAGCTCACAGGTGTGAATGGGCCAACACAGGAACGGGCCTGAAATGTGGGGCTTTCCTGTCTTCTTTCTGAGAACGCCTCCCTCATCACCAGACTCCAAACTCTCAGGCTTCATTTTGGTTTCAAGTGTCAGCAGAGGCAGACTGGGGACAAAATAGTCCAGGACAAAGAGACTCACTCTTGCTTGTCACTTCTTAGCCCAGCCATGGCGATGACCAACATTGTCTCCCCAAAGGACACAAAGGCTACTCTGCCCAGCAGCAAAGGTGAGGGCATCTGCTCTCTTCCCCAAGTGAGGAGGGTCCTGGGGTGTCAGAGCAGCTGGACCTTCAGCACTCAGTCCAATCCTCTTGCTTTCAGATGAGGAAACTGAGGCTCAGAGGGGGTTGGTTTCCCCAGGGCTGTCACAGGGCTTCCAGACTCCCGGGTTCTGCTGCTGGCACGGAGACGACAGCTCCTCCTGTAGCATCTGGAATGCAAGGGAGTGGATTACCTTGAGAGACAGCACGGGATCACAGTTAAGTGCACAGGCCCTGGGCTCAGTCTGCCCAGCCTCAGCCTCTGCTTGGCCACTTACCAACCCCAGGACACCAAACAGCCATTTAATTCCCATTTAATAGCCATTTCTCCTCAGGGAGTTCATTGGTAAGACGGATATAAAAATAGAAGCTGTTTCATACAATAGAGCCCAGTATCTGACATGTGGCTAAGCGTTCAATAAATTCTGGATAGTATTGTTATTAATTTTGACATCTTTCATTGAGACCTCTTTGTGAATTAGAGAAAATTTATATTCTGGGGAAGGAAATGAGAGCCTTCCTTTGCTATCTGTGGCCAGGTCTGTAAATCTGAAATATTGCTTCAGTTGCCATTAGCATCCAATCATGCCTATAGATAGTATATAAATAAAAAAGTCTATCTGTGATGACTACTTCTAGATGTACAGACCTCGGCTCCTCTAGAAGAGGATATTTGATATGATTTCCTTAATGACTGTATGCCAAATACATCCTATAAAAACACCAAATCACTTCACACCCACTAGGATGGATACAGCAGCATTATTTACAATAGCTCGAAGGTAGAAATGACTCAAATGCCCACCCTGGATAAATGGACAAACAAAATATGATATATACATACAATGGAATATTATTTGGCCACGAAAAGGAATGAAGTACTGACACCTGCTACAACACAGATAAAGCTTGACACAAAAGGACAAATATTCTATAATTCCATGTATATGAAATATTAAGAACAGGCAAATCCATAGAGAGCAAGTAGATGGGTGGCTGTCAGGGGAGAAAGAAGCGGGGAGTGAGGAGCAATGGCTTATTGGTGTGGGGTTTCCTCTCGGGGGCGATGAAAATGTTTTGGAACAAGATAGAGGGGTGGCTGTACAACATTGTGAATGCCTTGGATCCCACTGAATTGTTCACTTTAAAATGGTTAATGTTATGTGAATTTCACCTCAATAAACACACACACACACTCCTTACCCATCTATGAGGAACTTCTGTGGAGATGGCAGATAAAAGCATGAGGCACTGATTTAGGTTGGGCCACATCTTAAGTTAAAAACAAAAGAAAAAAATAACCCTTAAGGGTCTCTGTATCTTTTTCAGAATCTGGCAGCTTCAACCACAAACCATTCTTTTGGAAAGGAAATTATGGTAGCGGAATGGGAGGTAAATGGGATAAACTTTGTCAGGTAAAAATTCTGGAGAAGCGAAAGGGAGGTGGGAAGACACAAGGTGATGGATGTTAACTAGACTTACTGTGGTGATCATTTCTCAGTCTATACAAACGGCAGATCGTGATGCTGTACACGTGACACTAATATATGTTAATTACACCTCAGCTGAATAAACAAGACACAGAGGAGTTAGTCTCATCCCTCCTCGTACAGCATCAATTGGTGATTGCAAAATTAAAACATGATATTTTATAAAAGCCAAAAAATGATAAAAATTAAAACAGAATTTTAAATACTCCTGTAGAGATATCAGGCCCTAGTTTGAGAAACGCTGGCTGGGACGTGAGCTGAGTTAGCGCCTGGCCCCAGACCTTCCAGCCCACCTGTGCCAGTCAGGGCTGCAGGCCAGGCGCCAGGAGTATGGGCTGTGTGTTCCAGGTGCCTCCCATCTCTCACCTCCTTCCACCTCCCGGAGCCCTGTCCCACCCGATTGTATCGAGGCCTCCTTTACAGAATAACTAAGTTATTCTGAGTAACTCAGAACCCTCCGTTCCGACGAGACCACGCATGCCTGTGTGGTGGGGCAGAGGTGCCCAGAGAGGCCTCAAACAAGACACCACAGACTCCAGTTCTCCAGGTGGCCTGGCCCCGAGTGGCCGTGTGACCCTGAGCACCTCCCTCAGCCTCAGTGCCCCCCGAGGCCCCATCTTTAAGATGAAGCAGTTGATCACCAAGTGAGCCTGGAGATCAGGATGCTCTAAAGTTCCAAGGATTCCTACCGCTTGCAAAAAGTGGCCCCGGGCTCCACTCCCTGCTCCTCCCCAGGCTCCGTGGGGCTCGGTGTGCTCACCTGTAGCGTGGGGAGAACGATGCTCACCCCTGGCCCACGCAGCAAAAAGACATTTGACTATCTTACAAATTCTAAATACCTTTTCCGTGAAATGCCTCAGTATTGTCATAGCAACTCGTCAAATCTAAGCATATTTGAATGTGATCTCCCATAATTTGAAATTTAAATAGTACTGTGGTTCTGTATATTATGTTTAAAAATTAAGTATGGAAACCTTTCTTTGTCTATGAATGCTTGAATGAAAAGAAAGTAATGGAAGGATTGATTAAAAAAAAAAAAAGTTCTCCACTCTGGATGATGAGTCGGAGGAGCTATGAGTCCTGGGAGGCCCCACCAGCCAGGTAGGTGTCCTGGGGGCTGACAAACATGCTGTCTGAGCAGGAATTTTCAGGGACCGACTGCCAGGTGAGTGTGCTCAAACCTCTCTAGTCCAGGGACCCAAATGGGACATCAAATTAGGTGAACCACCAACAGCTCCTGCTCTGCCCCCCTCCCTCACCTGCTTCCCCAGCCAGATCCCTGGCTATGAAGGGGACCCAATGCTGGAGTCACCCTGGAGGCGGCTCAGGACCCAAAGACAAAAAGCCTGGATTTGGTCCCATCTAGATGACCTTGTTCATGTGGGAGAGCCTTCTGGAATTAAACTCCATCTCACCCCATTCTGAGGCTCCATGCTTTCGACGCCACACAAGGACATGCTCACTGCCCATGTCTTTGCCTGGGAATTTCCCAGAAGTTCTCAGCATAGATGAAAACCTCTTGTGAAGGCGGGAAAGTCCCCAGGCCTAGGGAGCTGGGCTCTGCGACTCTGGGTCCCCATCGCGTGAAGGCATACAGCCCTTGTCCCATCAGGACCAATGGCCAAGTCAGCATGTGGGGTGACAGAGCCATGGGTCCCGATGGGCAGAACCAAAGGCGAGAGACTGTGGCAACCCACAATGTGACATCTCAGCCAGGAGTGAAAAAATACAGCAAAGAGCAGCCTACAAAAGGATGTGCCTCTTTTTTTCTGTGCCGACCCTCGTGGCTGCCCGGCCTCCCATGACTGGGTGCCTTTGTCTGTGGGATCCAGTGGAGATATTGATCTGCCTGGATTGCAATGCCTGGGACAAGGAAGCAGTTAAAAGCTTAGAAAAGGGAAATTCCACTAAACATTGAGATAGCGGCAAAGTAAAGTTAACCTGGATGAACCTTGAGGGTATGATGCTAAGTGAAATAAGCCAGGCACAGAGGGACAGATGCCATATGATCCCACTTACGTGAGGTCCCTGGAGGAGCCCAATTCATAGACAGAAAGCAGAAGGGAGGTAACGGGGGTTGGAGGAGGGGGATGGGAAGTTAGTGCTCAATGGGGGCAGGGCCAGTGTCATCAGATTGCTTAATTTTCAAAAGAACTAGAAATCCTGATTTCTAGGTTAAGTTCATTGGGCGTGAATTCAAAAAGTTAAAAAAATACTTTGTAATCTAACACTACGCAGGCCAAATAAAACCCATTTGTCGGTTAAAAAAAAGAGGCTGTCATCTGTGGCTTCACCCATGAATATGAACTTGAACTGAAGTTAGGGGGCTGTGGATTTCACTTTCATTCATCACAATATTTTGTCTACTCTGAAGGTAGAGCTAGGTGGCCTGCTGTCACGATCGCTCCTGTGGTGTGTACAGGAGGTCCAGTGCCCTTTGCCTGTGTTTTGGGACCTCACGTGGCTGTCACTCTGTGCCTATGGGGACTTGTCTGCCCCATGGCTGCAGGTGTGAGGATAATCCAGACCCACCCAGACCTGGCTCAGTCTGAGCTCCTGACCCATCCTGCCACATTATACTGAGGCCTGTTCTCAGATTCCTGCCCCATCGCTGAAAGAAGGAATGCATGAATGCATGCATGCATGAATGAATGGAAGGATGGGTGAGTGGGTGGATGGACGAATGAATGATTGGGTGGGTGGGTGGATGAATGCATATGAATGAAGGAAGAGGGTAAAGGTCCCTTTCCTGCCCCTGTGGCACTCAATCACCTGGACTCCTAAGCGGCATTGTTCAGCTCCTGGCACTCTCTCCTCCCCATGTCTGTGCCCACGACCAGCTCTTCGCTGCCACCCCTCCTCACCCCTTACCCCCGCCGGCGCCCCATTTCCTCTCCTCCCTTCTCTGGCTCCTTAGTTCCCTGCACAAAACTCCCTCCTCCTTCTCAGGCTTCACCCCAAATCAAACGGCCTCGTGCTCCTAGCGTTCTGCACATGGAGGCTGGGAGATAGGAGTGCTTTTTCCCACCAGAAGCATCAGGCACACTGCAGCCAGCTCAGCCACAGAACAAAGACTTTACGCTTGAAACCAGGGGGACCAACCATGATGGAGTTGGTAATGAAACACTAGTAAAAAAAAAAAAAAAATCATAAAAAGTTAAAAGGCAGGGCTCCCCTGGTGGCGCAGTGGTTGAGAGTCCGCCTGCCGATGCAGGGGACATGGGTTCGTGCCCCGGTCCGGGAAGATCCCACATGCCGCAGAGCGGCTGGGCCCGTGAGCCATGGCGACTGAGCCTGCGCCTCTGGAGCCTGTGCTCCGCAACGGGAGAGGCCACAGCAGTGAGAGGCCCGCGTACCGCAAAAAAAAAAAAAAAAGTTGAAAGGCAAACAAGTTGGTATATATTTGCCACAAGCCTCACCTACAAAAACTAAGTAGCCTTATCATATCAGGATATCACACAAATCAAGATGAAAAATACTAAGACATAATGAAAGTAAGGTATTTTAAATATATATATAAAATGAATAATTGATACATATGACCACACACACTAGAAAAAAATGAATAAAAACAACAAGATACCATTGTTTTGTCTATTAATTTAACAAAAGAAACAATGATAATATTTTTGTACTGCGGGCCTCTCACTGTTGTGGCCTCTCCCATTGCGGAGCACAGG